GTCCTGCTCAGCGCTGGAGACCTGGCTCACATGCCGCATGGGAGAGAACCCAAAGCACGGCAGGTGCAAAGGCTTTGGCCCACCCCTGGACACGTGGATGTCACATGCGGTAGCCTCCTTGGTACGGTGAGATTGACCGAGGGCAAGGATCTGTGGTTATTTGTCCTGAAAAGCAACCAAGCCAGCATACTCTTGCTCACCCCTCTTCGCAGCATCCAGGCCATTGCCCTTCACAGCAGCATGAGATGCTCTCACCTTGCGGACAGATGGAGTAGCTCCATGCCCACCAGCGTTTCTTAGGAAGCGTTTTTGTGCAGTGCTGGTTCCTGGCAGAGCCATGCCTGTGAGTTGCCTAACTCAGGAATGTCTTGAAGGGAATGAGTCATTCAAAATACATGAATTGGATATCCTTATCTGGATAAGGAAACAGTCACTTAGCAGTGGGAAATGTCACATCTGTAATGCCTCATCCTTCCCTGGGGCACTGCTCATTTCTCCCCAAGCGTTGCCTTAACTTACTGAAAGCAATTAGGTTTGAAGCCCTGGCTGATGGTCAGACTGTGCACACACCCCAAGAGCAGGTCACGGTGCCAAGCAGAGTTGTTCAACTCTTACCTCTTGCTACAAAAACGAAAAGGCTCCACTTTTGTCAGGGGAGGAGGTGAGCTGCTCACACGGCCAAGCCCCAGCCCCAACTTGCACAGGCAGGGTGAAACCCCAGCCTGTAGCAGCCTCTGAGCCAAGCAAGATTGAGCAATGGGTTCAAAATGTACGTGCCTCCAAAAAGCAGTGGTACCATCTGCCACACCCCACTTACTACCACTTTTTTTTTCTCTTTCCAAGTCCCAAGGCACAACCTGTGCCTGTTGCCTCTTCTTGTTCTGGCCATTTCTACGGAACGGAGCTTGGCTCCGTTGCCTCTGTAACTCCTCTCCAAGCACGTGTCGGCTGCTATCAGGTCAGTCTGAGCCTCTCTATCTCCAACAAGCCCACGTCCCTCAGCCTCTCCTTGTAGGCCCCTGCCATCTTGGAATCCTTCTGCCAGATGAGTTTCCCAACACCCTCTTGGGGTCCAGTGCTGGAAACAACATCCCAGGTACAGCCATTGACTACATCAGGGCCCTGAGGGCACCGCTGGGACTGACTGTCCCTGCCCGGCCCCTGGGGCCTCCCCCCGACCATGCCCATGGCCCAGGACCCCCTTTCAGATTTTACAGGCAAATCGCTGACCTCTTTTGGGGTGTTAAAGTATCTAGAAACAGACTTGCCTTAGAAAGGGCACTGAAACACCTAGCCCAACAACCATCTTCCACCTGAAGCCAGGTGTTGCTTTGCAGTCTAAAATACTTTGTTTCTTCCTCAGGACCACATTTTCAGAAATGTTGTCTTCTTGCAATCCTTCCCTTTAAAAAGTGACATGGCGCAACACCCCCCACACTTGATTTTTAGAGGCAAACTCCTGGCTCTCCTGGGAAGGCTTTTACCACTGACTTGAGCTCACCCCAGACTTTTCTCCCAAGACCAAGCGAGCTGCAGGCACCGTGTGGTTTGCTGTGGACAAGTGCCCACCCTGCACAACTCCCCTCTGCAGCTCTCAAACCCCCAAAATGAAGGCTTGCTGCTGCTCTTCTGCAGAAGGTGAGCAGAGCACCTGGCACCACAAACACATCAGGATTAGTACCCATTTATTCTTAACTTCATGTTTTTTCTGTGACAGCCAAGGTCAGAGCCTTGGCACCACTCTTTTGGCAGTTAAGCAACTATGACTTCCTTCTTCCCTCACCACTTGCAATATTTTAGGGGAATTAAGTGTGTGTGAAACACCCTTGCAATGTCATCAGTATTTAAGGTCTCTGAAGGGTCAACACAGGGCACTGAATGAAATTCCTTGGAAATTTTAAATATACCAAACTTGGCAGAATAATCTACCAAACTTATTTATTGCATCTACTTCTACTACTTACCACCTGGGCAAACATATTGTCCTTCAAGTTATTTTGATATATGCTGTGACCGAGATGTTGTACAAACCTTCCAAGTGTCAGTGGCTCCGTGTGTCCTGGTCGTGTGGTGCTCAGTTGCCGACTGAGGTTAAACCACAACACTGTGTCAATGACAACAGGGACATTTCTCAGGTTTCCTGTGTAGTTCCTTATCTAATCAGTCAAACTACGCTTTGAAGTTCAACTGCAACTATAATTTCATTTGGCTTTGTTCCTTGTAAAGTTATACAAGGTATTATTTACCTCAGAATTTAATACTCTTGGACCTTGTTTATACAACAGATTTTTCAAAATGCTTCCCACCATTAATTCAAGAATACTTACTTCAGTCTTCACGAGCGACATTGTGAGCCTTGCTGTTAACCATGCACCTGCTGCTTCTACTGTTAAAGCGTGACATGGTATAGCCCTGCTTAAGGAAAATCTGATGAACAGGATGCTGAAAAATTAGGGTTGTGTTTGAGAATAAGAGGAAGGTGAGAAAGACTCATTACAGCCAATGCCTGGGACATGTGCAAACAAAAGTGTATTTCGCTGGAATTTGAGCGGAAATGTGTGCCCGAGACTCTTCTCTAAAAATACCTCAGCTCAAGTGTGCAAAAACTCCACGCAAGCACACTACTGTAGTTCCCGCATAAGGATAACCCACCTTCTGCCCTGGTAAATCAAGGTCTTATGGTTGGCCATGATCTTCAGCCACCTTACAAGGTCTACCACATTTGAACTCTTCAAACACAGCTCGCTCATTAGTCTCACATCAATTTTTTGTGTGCGTGTGGTCTAAAATATCTGTAAATATTAAATTTCAGCCACTGAGCTTTGGACAGTGTTTTAATTTGGTTATGCCGGCACCACTTTTTGAGATCACCTCCAGCTGCGTTTTGGATGACCACACATGCTGACAAGCAACACCAGCAGATATGGGCCAAACCCTGTGTACATGGAGGGGAGGGATTCTGCCAAAAAATGCACCCTGCTCAGCAATCTGTTCCTTCCACAGGAATTGGAGGAAAACTCACTTCCGTTCCCAACTTCAAGTATTTATGACAGCGAATTTACAGCCCTAGTTTATGTTCTTCCTCCTTTAAAGTGAGCAACACCAAGTAAAACACTGCCCACACTTTCTGCACATATGCAAACATCTCCTAGACCTTGACTTCCAACAATGACTGTAATAAAGAAATGTCAGTTTTGAGATAGTCCATGTTAAAAAACTTTCCAAAAGGTTTGTTAGGAGGAGGGGCAACAGCCAAATTAACCAGAGAGGAGAGAGTCTGGTCCTTCTGCCGTTTGCACAAAGGCAGCAATGGCTTACAGCTGGCTGAGAGTTAATAACAAAGACAAACAAATCAGGCTTGCAGCCTTCATTATTTCTCCATCATGTACAAAGGTCCAAGGAGACTTGATGTATTTAGAAATACATAGTTCCCGGTTGTCATCTCCAAAGACCTATGAGGGATGCTGGGTCACTGCATCAAGTCCCAGCTTCCCAGGCAGCCAGATGTGTCTCGCTCTTTCTATCTGTGCTGCTACCCAAAGAGCTCCCCAGGTGCAAAGACCATGTTGGTAAGGAGGAAAGGCACTTGGAGCACTCTGCCCTCTTCCCCACCACATAGGCAGCTCCTCTCTTTGGAGCGGAAGACTTATGAACCCACTGAGGGGAGAGGGAAAGGCCTTGTCCCTCTTGGGACACGGCTGCCTGATGTGATGAGTTAGACCCTCTTGAAGCAGGGGACCTGGAGCAAACAGCTCCTGGCCTATTCTGGGGGACACCGACTTTTCGTCTTTCCGATATGAAGAAGGAAAAGGCACGAACCCAACTCCAGTGGCATTTCCACCCACAAGTCCATTTTTACGCTCCTGCTGGACATGGCGCAGATCTGCCAGTCATGACAAACCTGACAGGTTCTCATATGGAGGCTCACAGAAATGTGTCCTTAGGTTTGCTGCACATGCAACAACCGTGACTCACTTTCTGTGGTTACAAGACACAGACAACCTGGCAAGCCCAGAGCAAACAAGTGATATTACCAGCATGACACATACATTTATAGGCATCATTATATTTTTCGATTAGGATCGCAACTAAAAAATTTCCAAGTAAAAGAGGATGTGTGGGCATGGGAAAGAAGTTGGTATCTTAGAAAAGATGATTCCTGACACATGCACTGTGTCGACAGGCATCTCATCCTGACCACTGAGTAATCACTGACCCATGATTTAGTAGATGTGTGGGTACCAGTGATCTGGTTGATTACATCGCACGAATGGAAATCAGCATCATCCAGAGTTGTAAAAAAAAAGTTGCTTGAGAAACTCCATTTTACCAAACGTTAAAGCGATTGCCAACTTAAGCGGGGGGATGGGGATGTGTTGAACATGGACACTCTCAGTGAAAGCAGCTGCCTGTTCACATGCAGCCTGTTGTATTCTC